CGCGCAGGTGCTCTGGCTGCACCACGTGCGCGTCCTCGACCTCTCCCCCGGCCTTTGGCGGCTGCATTACGGGGCGCGGGTGCCTGATCATCTCGAGTAGCACGTGTCCTCACCATCTGTGAGGGAATAGAAGTCAGAAGTTTAGAATTGATGTCCAAAAATATCGCACGACGAGGAATTCAAAAGAAATGAAGATTTTTTTTCCTAAACAGTTACATAGCCCCTCGTAGATAAGTACAGACGTCTCCGTACCGATCAGCGAGACTCTAATAAACCGGCCTGTGTTCCGTGACTCCTATGAACCTAGAGCTCTGATACCAACTTGTCACGACCCCCGTTCACCCTCCATGAACATGTCGTGATGGCACCTAGTTCCTACAACTAGGTAAGCCTAACAGTGCGGAAATAACAATTTAACTTGAGGAATAATAAATTAAAAACTGATCATATGAAAAATAACAACTGAATATAAGGCCGCCCGGCCTATACAACTGTAAAGATATGCGGAAATCTACAACTAAATCCCAAAACCCGGAAACTCACGGGAAACACAGGCTAATAGAATTACCATAAGTACTCTAATCTCCAGAATATCTACATCAAAAGTATGATGGGATAACAACTCTACAACTAGAATACGGAAGAAGACTCCTCGGTCTGCGGACGCTGCAGATATACCTCGAAGTCTCCATGTGTCTCCTCGCCTCAAGAATAGTGCGCCTGAGAAGAGGTACCTGGATCTGCACATGAAAAACATGCGCAGGAAGGGCATGAGTACACCACAACGGTACTCAGTAAGTGCCAAGCCTAACCTCGGTTGGGTAGTGACGAGGAAAGTCAGGGCCCTACTGAGGTAAAATCTAACATTAATTAACAGTATGAAAATCTGACAGAAATAATGAGTACAACAGTGAAATAAGACAGGCTAACGAAATAATAACAACTACACAAAGAACAAAAATGAACACGGAATGACTACAGCTCAATACCAAAATAACAATGAGGGTCTCCCAGGATACCGTCCTGTACCCCTTCCTCAACTGTCCAGTGGATCTCCCGGGATACCGTCCCGTAGTCCAACTCATGTGCCAAACCGAAGGATCTCCCGGGATACCGTCCCGTAGTCCAACTATCAATATGCGCGGGGGGGGGGGGGATCTATCGGGAATCTAACCCGCAGTCCCAAAGTAAAAGTGCAGGGGGATCTACCGGGAATCGAACCTGTAGTCCCAAGGTAAACAAACAGGGGGGGAGCTACCGGAATCCCACATCCGTAGTCCCAATGTAAATGCGCAACCACAGCCAGAAATATACCAAGTAATGAAGTATGAAATACAACGCAGATAGTACTAGCCTAACATGCTTCACATAGAACAGTCAAAACAACTCAAGCAATTAGGCAATCAAGTCAACCGAACATGCTTTTCCTAATCTAGCACAAGTTATAATTTCAAGTAGAATAAGGCAAGTAAGAAAGAAACCAAATCTCAATAACTTAAGTAAAACCGGATTTTCCATCAATCGGCTCAAGTACGCGCTCGTCACCTCACGTACAAGGCACTCAAATATCAAGTAACAATCCTAAGGGGAAAAGTCCCCCACACAAGGTTAGACAAGCCACTTACCTCGAATCGGCACCAAACTCAACTCGAAATCACACTCTTGCCACGAGTATCCGACTCTAAATGGCCCAAATCTATTCAATTCAATTACATATCGAAGTAATATTGCAAACAATTGATTCCACTATTAAATTTAAAGCTAAGGCGCGAAAATAGGTAAAATGACCAAAACGCCCCTCAGGCCAACGTCTCGAAATCAAATAATTTTCATATTTTTAGAACCCTTGTACTCTCACGAGTCTAACCATATAAAAATCTCCCAAATCGGAGGTCAAATGCCCACTCAAAATCCAAAAGTTAGGTCTAAGAAGTTTTACCCATTTTCTTCCAATTTTGATCCCAAATTCGAATTTTAATGATGGATTTAACTACAAAATAATGAAATATAGCTAGGAGGGATCAAAGAAACATTACCCAATGGTCTTCTCTTCAAAACCCCTCTGAAAATCGCCCTTCCCCGAGCTAAATTCGACTTTTCTAACTTATGAAATCAAACCCTCTAATTTTTTATATCAGAACAGGTGTTTCCGCTTTTGCGGACAAGGGACCGCATCTGCGGTCCCGCTTCTGCTATTTTTCATTAAAGCCAAGAGTTCCGCTTCTGCGGTCTTATACCGCACCTGCGGTTGCCGCTTATGCGGATTCCTTACCGCTTCTGCGGTTTCAATCAAAATCCCAAGGACCGCATCTGCGACTACTATCTCGCAGGTGCGTAACCGCTTCTGCGGTTAAACTTCCGCACCTGCGGAAACTGAAGGAACATTCGAATTTCGCTCCTGCGGTGGTCTAGCCGCTTCTGCGGATCCGCTTCTGCAGTTCCCAAGCCGCAGAAGCGGAGATACCAGATGACAGAACCTTCACCAATTCATTCAACTTCAAAATTTTCCGTCAACCACCCGAAATCATCCCGAGGCCCCCGGGACCTCAACCAAAAGCACCAATACCACCTAATACCTTATTCGAACTTGTACCAATCCTTAAAACACCTAAAACAACACCGGAAACTCGATTTAATCAATGATTCAAGCCTAAGAACTTCAAATTTCTACCAAATACGCTTTCGATCAAAAACCTAACCAAAACACGTCCGAATGACCTGGAATTTTACACACATCCCAGATGACATGACGGAGCTACTGCAACTTCCAGAATTCCATTCTGACCCTCGGAACAAAAACTCATTATCGGACCGGAAACTTCAAAATTACAAACTTTGGCATTTCAAGCCTAAATGAGCTACGGACTTCCAAAATGCATTCCGAACACGCTCCCAACCCCGAAATCACCTAACGGAACTAACAGAACCATCAGATTTCCATTCCAAGGTCGTCTTCATACTGTTCCGACTACGGACCATTTTTCAAAACTTAAGCTCTCATTTAGGGACTAAGTGTCCCAAAATACTCCGAATCCTAACGCCGAACGTCCCGGCAAACCAAAATAGCAGAAATGAACTTAGGGGAAACAGTTAATGGGGATCGGGGCGTAAATTCCATAAACGACCGGCCGGGTCGTTACAGTTAAGGTTTTGTCGAACTTTTTCAGTGGAACTGACGCTACTTGCTCCTTTGAAAGGTCTTTGCCTTTTACCGCTGTGACGTAATGGATGATGTGATCTTCGGGGTTTGTAGTTCCATCGTATATCTTTAGGTAAGGTGGCATTTTGAATGTTTTGGGAATGTCATGTGGAGTTGCTTCCTCTTTGTACGGTTGTTCGACAAACCGACCAACGTCTCGTTTTGGTAGTAGCTTTGGGGCGCCCAGTATCTTATCGACCCTTTCTTGATGTTCCCTCATCTGGTCGCGGAGTGCCTAGTTTTCGTTTTTCATTTCTTCTATTTTCTTTAGAATGACTACGAGTGCATCATTACCTGCATCAACAGAGGTGTAAGTGGTACCTGTTTGAGGGACGGGCTGCTCGCCAGTGATCGTTGTGGTGTCTGTTCGCGCGGTGTTTCCGCTCTCCCTTTGAACGGGTTTGTCGAGTATGTTGTTTAGAGTGCTTGACAGCCACTCTTCCAGTAATTTTTTTACTGCTGGTGGTGCTTCCTCAACTGTAGACGTGGAGGCTCCCCTTTGCGTGAAGCTGTTACACTTTCATGAGGGGAGGTGAAGCACTGCGCCTGGGCGTAGCGTTTGGTGTTATGTTCTCGTTATCTTCCCTGCCATCTTCGTTGATGGTGTTCAAGATGTAAGTAGTGATGTCTGCTATTGCTTTCAGTCTTGCATCTCTTTTTTCTGTCATCGTCAGTTTGCACAAATGAAGAAAAGATGGCTGTTTTTTTTAATCTAGAAGGAACTAAAACTTCAACTAAAACCACCCCACAGATGACGCCAAATTATTTGAGCAAATAATTGCTAAACCGATTAATGATGAGTTAAAGGGGGTAATTTTTAGTTGATCTTATTAAATTATAGACCGGATAAAACAAAGCCTTATCAAGTAATGGATTGAATACACTATGATTGACAATAAATGTAATGGCGTGAAGATGCAATAAATTTGACGACGTAAATATGTAATAAATGTAATCAACGACAACAAACGTGATGAAAAGGGATATGTCACCCAGCTAACATATGATTAGGATGTCCCTTTTCTTTGTCTGCGACGTGGAAAGGTATGGAGTTGGGATAATGTGGAATTTCTATGCTTATGGATCAGGATGGGACAACAAGTGCTTCAATAATATTATAGACAAATAAGACAACTCTTGGATATTCTCTGTTCTCAAATCTTACAATGCGCTTTCTTTCTACCAGTTCCGAAAGTCAGAAGAAAGATCTCATTCTATTTATAAGGGATATTCCCCAAAAACCCTAAAAGGTACAACTTAAGGAATATTCTTTTTGTCCACTTATGGACATTCCCGTTACTCTCTCATCTCGGCTGCCTGCTTTTGATATCAGCCTTTGTGGTAACGGCCTTCAATCGTTATATCATGGTCAACCCCATTCCTTGTCTTACGTGTCCATTGCCGGGGTCGCCAAATTTGGACCTATACAAAGTGTATAACATTGTAAATGTCGTTTGTATAAACACTATTGCAAGAAAATAATAAGCTATGCGACTGTAAACTTTAAAATGTTATTAAGTAGGTATGATGTAGTGTGTTGAGCTATCCTATTGTGCAAATTTCTCTAGAATTGAACTGCAAAATTACATCTCCAGCTGAGTTAGGAATTTGAGGACTAATTCTGATTTAAATCTAACTTAAAGGGAAAAGTTGGAGCAAGCGGTAAGTTCAAGGATTAGAGTGTCATTTGATGGGATGCAGCCATACAAGGCAATATGCTGGTCCGTCACACAGGGTATCGTGGCTCTCCTCTTACGTTCCGGACCGACCTAACGAAATGGGCATCTTTAAAGAAGGTTTCACATTGAAATTACCTGTGCACTGACGTTCGCTGTATTTGCTCAGACTTATCCGGAATTTAGGGTCTGCTCTATCACCATCGTCTTCATCTCTCCCATCCCTAACCTTCGGATCAGGTAAAATCTCCAATAATCTACTTGTGTTTTCTGCTTAATATCTTCAGATCCAATGAATTAGCCTTGTGTCTTTGCTATAGTACTTGTTTTTGGCCATAAAGATCAGATCTTTCTCCAAGAATTGGTATTATTTGGGAATTTTAATACTAGGACGTATGGATTTCTGATGCTTAGTCAATCTTTTGATTTTTTTTTGGCTTTGCTTAATTCTGGTTGTGTTTTGCTCCAAGAATTGGTATAATTTAAGGGATATTTACAAATTACACTAGAGCTAAATTTCTCATGCTTAGTGAATCTTTTGTTTTGGGTTGTTTCTGTTTTATTCTTCTTCACGAATTGGTATATCATTTCAGGAAATCCTTCCTACTGTAGTTATAGATATTTGATGCTTAGTAAATCTTTTGTTTGGTTGTGTCTTTTGCCTGATTCTGATGATATTTCTCTCCAGCAATTAGTACCATTTTAGGATATCTTACACACTGATGCTTAGCAAAATATATTGTTTTCTGTGGCATAAATTTTTCTCCAAGAACTGGTACCACTTCCGGGTTTTATAATGGATTTGTCAGTTTCTGATGCTTAGTGGTCTTTCACTTTGGCTTTGCTTGTGCTGTATAGTTCTGGTTACAGTCAAAACTCTCTATAACAGTCTCGTTTGTTCCGAATATTTTTGGATGTTATAGCGATGTGTTGTTATAGAGAACATATTTTATAACATAAAATGAAAATTGGTTCCGGTAAAGCTTGGCTTTTATAGTGAAGTGTTGTTATGTAGGTATGTTGTTATAGAGAGGCCTGACTGTATATTTTTGTTAAAGGATTTGGTAACATTTTGGAAGTTAGTAAGCTAGAGTTGTCTATTTCTGATGCTTACAGTAAATCTGGTGTTCTACGTTGCTTTATTTACCTGTTCTGGTTGTTTGGTTCATGTAAAATATACACACACCTATTCTACTTTAGCTTCTGCATTTTCCTTCTGTTTTTGGTTGGATTTACTTTGCCTGGTTGGGTCTTATTTCTACTTGAATAAGAACTTCCTGTTGTAGACTGCTTCTTGTTACTGTAAGGCATTCAAGATGATAACTGAAAGTGTAATTACTTGATCGAAAAATAGACAATGAGTTGATAACAGAATCTTTCTGTTTCTATGTGTTGTTTTGGTGATAAATATCAGATTTCTCCAGGACTTGGGTACTATTTTGTTAATTTTACTGTAAGAGTTGTCAGTATCTGATGCTTACTGAATCTTCTGTCTTGGTTTTTTTCTTTTCCAGCCCTGTTAGCGATTAAGGCTTCATCTTTTGTCTTTATAAGCTTCTGCACTTCCTAATTTAGCCTTTGATTTTATCTCTTTTAAGTTGGATGTTGTTGTACACATTGATTATTGTTTTTACTTCTTGTAGTTAAGCATATGTAGATCACTTCTTGTTATTGTAATGTATGCATGGCGATAACATATTATTTGAGTCGTGGAATTTGATTTCCTGTGTATTATTCCTGTTGTAATAGCTGCTGTAAGTTTTTCATCTGCCCAGGTCTGAGCATCCAAGTTTCGAGATTTGTGTGTGCTTGTTGTTTTCCACTACTCAACCAAGTTTCATGTCTGATCTCGACGCCCAAATTCCTACTGCTTTTGGTATGGAGCGCCTTAATTCACATTCTTTTTTTGTTTTTGTTTTTGCAATTTGTTATGTTTCATGTGTCTATAAGATTCGTAGATCAGTTCCAGTTGAATGATAATTAATGAATTGTAGATTTTAACAGACTAGTCGCGAAAAAAGAAAAAGGAGAAAGATAATATGCTAGTTCAGACAAGGTGAATTATATTCTTGTCATGCTCTGACCATTCTGGGTGCTTTTATGTCAGATCCCTTTGCCGAGGCAAATGCTGATAATTCTGGGGCTGGGTCAAAAGATTACGTGCACATCCGTATACAACAAAGGAATGGTAGGAAAAGCCTGACAACTGTGCAGGGGTTGAAGAAAGAATTCAGCTACAACAAGATACTGAAGGATCTCAAGAAAGACTTTTGCTGCAATGGTACTGTTGTCCAGGATCCAGAATTAGGCCAGGTTTGCAACTTTGCATCCTAGTGCGTGTCTCTAAAATTACAAGTGCCATGACTGATGTATGGATTTTTTTATTTATGAAGGTTATTCAACTTCAGGGTGACCAGCGTAAGAATGTTTCTGCATTTCTTGTCCAGGTGACTGACTTCGCATTGAGCATGTCTTTTTGCTCATTTAATATTAAGATATCTTGCCATTGGACATAAATGTTAAGAGAAGATTTTTTGTTATGCATTAACTGTCATATGTGAATTTCACTCTGCACCTTAACTTTCTGTCCACCTTCCGCTGCACCATGTCTTTTGAACTGAAATTTGTAAGTGGCTATTCTGCTCGTTAACCACAAAAGTCTTTTGGTCTTGGGTCTTTATGTACCGAGATTACTTCGTGAAGATTTACTGATCAATGGTGGTATCACAGAATAGGAAACGAGAAAATTAACAGCACTTAATAATATCTGTTGCTTGACAGAATTGACATGTTGTGTGACTTTCCTCTGTTCAGGTTGTTGTGTTGTATCTATTATAAATAAAATTGCTAATATGTTCATTTTGGATTTGTCGAAGCAGGCTGGAATCGTGAAGAAAGAGCACATCAAAATTCACGGTTTCTGATTGCTATCATCAACCTCGCTGCACAGTTATCATACTTGTTATGTCAGTGCCAGAGATGCTATCCAAACTTGGTTCTACTGGAACTTGCTAGTGTCTAATTTCTGCTGGTTTGATATAAATACTGTATTGCTTGCTTCTCTATGTTCTGTATGTTGAATATGAGTTATGCTATATTTTCAAGCACAAGCACTTCACGGAGTAGTGATGATCTAATTAAGTGCTCAAGAGATATGATCCTTTATCATCTTTGAACTGCTGCCGATTGCTTTGGTGTTGCTTAGAATTTGTCTTCGCTGCGTTTCTGGTACTGCTGCTCCAACTATTTTTTCTTTTATGACCTGACCACATCGGGGCCAATGGTTAGGACCAACTGCAACCTCCGAAACTCTTGGGGGTTGTTTGGTTACCACGATGGGATGGAGAAAGATGCCTCATGGGATTAGCTATCGCACCTCCTGTGTAGGATAGCTAATCTCGCTATTTTAGTACAAAATAGTTTCTCTAACCAAATGGTTTCTTGATAAAGTCTGTGACCAAAAGCAGGATAAAATAATAGCGCATTTTTTTCTGGGGTGGTTATCCCTTATTCGAACAACCAAATGACCCCTTAGGGTGCATGTTGATGGATGAAGGGGCTACAGTTTCTTTACAGATTTATTGAGGATTTGAGCATTGTGGGGGTAGAGGACGTTGAATCTTTAATTATTTGTGCTCTGTAGGTAGGAAAGAATAAAAGGCTTACCGGAAGACAATAGGGGGATGCTAGCCCGAGCGTTGGCTGCCATTTTTCTTCTCTGTTCTTCACAGATTGAAAGACGGCATAAGGCGTAGGTTCCTCGGACGCTAAATGTCACGACCTCAAATCTCTTTTAGGCGCTGATGGCGCCCAGATGAACTAACCACATGATTTCTTTTTTTTAACAAATTTTTAAGTAGTTAAATTTTGTTTAATTAAAAGATTTAAGAAACAGTAGGTTTAATAAATAAGACAAAAGCAGCTAAGTGCAATCATAATTATAGAAAATAATCCAAAAAAAAGAATCACAAGTTTTCTAGTAGGTGTCAAGATTTGGTGTCATAAGTATATGAGCACTGATAGATTAAACAAAACTTTAATTATTGTCTGAAATGAAAATAGACAAAAATATATGATAGGAGAGACTTTACGTGCTGCGGAACAGCTCTGGGGCAGCTCATCACTAGGCCCACGGATAACGGTGATGTGCGACAGCGTGATCGTCAGATGCATCTGTCACAAATTCTGCACGGTCAATGTAAAAGTATAGCGTGAGTATATAAATAATATGTATCCAGTAAGCATTAAGTCTAACCTCGAAGAATTAGTGACGAGGGGTCGATTTTGACACTTATTATGGGCTAACAATATGAATATAGAAATTCTAAATAGGCATGGGTAATGTAAATGATAACAATAACTCATTACCAAGCAGGAACAAATAATTCTTTCACAAATTAATAAGTTCCAAGTAAATTCCCGTCATTAATAATTGTAACATCACAAGCCATAAAATAATATCAAGTATGATTAGGCTCCGAGTATTGTTAAGCATGATTTATGCCGAGGTCGTACAGACCGATCCAAATAACGTATATATTGTCGAGGGACGTGCGGCACGATCCATAGATACATCTATTCTACTACCGAGGCGTTCGGCCCGCTCCACAAGAAATGAGGATACTAAGCATTTGACTTAAACGTTATTACAAGGCTAATACATAATTTAATACAATTTTCACTAACGTTTTCTTACAATTTCTTTATCAAGTTCCAATATGATTTAGACAATTTAATTAACAAGTAGGGTACAATATTACAAATATTTCATGATTTGGGTCCTAAACTATTCGGACATAAGCATAATTAGTAGCTACGCACGGACTCCCGTCACCTTGTGTGTACGTAGCCCCTACAATAGAAGTAAATATTAATTTAAATCACTTATGGGGTAAATTCTCTCTTACAAGGTTAGGCAAGAGACATACCACATCTAAAAGCTCACTTTCCGGTCACAATTTCGTTATAAAGCTTGAACTCGATGCCGAGCAATCCAAAACTAGTCAAATGTTATATAAATTAATAATACATGTTCAAAAGTTCATATTCTAAATATTAGAGTGATTATCCAACCCCAATTGAAGGATTCCTAAAATCCATCCCTGGACCCACGTGCCCGGATTCCGAAAATTTTCAAAGAAAGTTGTTACCCATAACCCGACGAACTCAAATATATAATTTTTACTCAATTCCATAACCATTTTCATGGTTAAATCCCTTTTTATCAAAACCTAGGTTTTTCTTCTAAACCCATAATTTTAACAATTTTACATGTTAAAATCAATCCATAATCTATGTATTTAACTCACATTGTATAGACATTACTTACCTCAAAGTTCTAGGTGAAACCCCCCTCCAAGAGCTCCAAAATCACCCAAGAGATGAAAGAAAATGAACCAAAATAGTCTAAGTCCCACATTAAATAAACCATTCTGCCTCTAGCGATTTTCGCACTCGCGGAGGGACAACCGCTTCTGCGGCTCCGGATCTGTGGAAAATCATTGCAGATGCAGCCCTTGCCCAATTGGCCTACTTCTGCACGTGCGGACCACTAGCCCGCTTCTGCGGATTCGCTGCTGCGACGCTCGTGCCGCACTTGTGGCTTTGGCCGCTTCTGCGGTTTTCTCCATCGCACCTGCAGGTGCGCATCCTCACCCGTATCTGTGGCTCCTGGTCTGCTCCTGTTGGGCCGCTTCTGCGGCTACTGGATTGCTTCTACGAGCTCGTACCTGCGGTTGCCCCTTCGCAGGTGCGATTGCACCAGAAGCTAGGTGCTTCAGTTGTTCACCCAAGGCTAAACGACCTCTGCGCATCGTCCAAATGGCATCCGGGTCTCCCGAGGCCTCGTCCAAACATACCCACAAGTATGAAATCATAAAACGGACTCGCTCGCACCCTCGGAACGTGGAAAACAACATTAAAACTAAAAATCGCAACCCACAACCAATAGAATCAACTTATGAACTTCAAATTCTTTCAATTTACTCCGAACGCGCCGAAACATACTTAAACTACTCGGAATGACTCCAAATTTAGTGTTAGAGTCTTAAATCACCATAGTTCCCAGGCTCGGAATCCCAAACGGACCTCGATAACATCAAAACCTACTCCGAATCAAATTTAAAGAACTTAAAAAACCTTCAAGGTGCCAACTATCAATATTAAGCGTCGAAACGCTCCTGGGTCATCCAACACCCAGTCCGAACATACGTCCAAGTCCAAAATCATCATACAAACCTATTGGAACCGTCAAATCTAGGTTCCGAGGTCGTTTACTCAAAATGTTGACCAAAGTCAAACTTTGCCTCTTAAAGCCTAACTAAGGAACCAAGTGTTCCGATTTCAATCCGAACCCTATCAAATCATGAACTAACTATCCCCGCAAGTCACAAAACAGCTAAAGCACCTACGGGAGTCTTATTTAGGGGAACGGGTATCTAAAAAGCAAAACGACCGATCGGGTCGTTACATTCTCCACCTCTTAAACAAACGTTCGTCCTCGAATAGGTCTAGAATTATACCTGGAGTGCTGAATAGGTGTGCATATCTACTCCTCTTTATAACCAGGCTCTCATCTAGCTGAACCAGTGCTGAAGTCTAACACATGCGACCTATCGGCATAATACCTCCGGAGCATAGACACGTGAAAAACCTGATGAATTCCCGATAAATTGGGAGGCAAAGCAAGCTCATAAGCAACCTCCCCAACTCGTCTCAACACCTCAATCCTATAAACCTTGGTCTGAACTTGCCCTTCTTCCGGAACCTCATGATTCCCTTCACCGGCGAGACCTTCAAGAGAACTTTCTCGCCCACCATAAATGAAAAATCACGTGCCTTCTGATCCGCATAACTCTTCTGTCTGGACTGAGCTGTGCAAAGTCGCTCCTGAATCAACTTTACCTTTTTCAAGGCATCCTTCACCAAATCAGTACCATATAACTTAGCCTCGCCGGGATCAAACCATCCGATGGGAGAACGACATCGCCGACCATATAAAGCCTCAAATGGAGCAATCTCGATGCTGGACTGATAACTTCTGTTGTAAGCAAACTCGGCCAAAGGCAAGAATAGATCCCAGTGCCCTCCGAAGTCAATCACACATGCTCTAAGAATATCTTCCAAGATCTGTACTGTCTGCTCCGACTGCCCGTCGGTCTCCGGATGAAAGGTTGTGCTGAGCTCTACACAGGTCACCAACTCACTCTGTAGTGCTCTCCAGAAGTAAACTGAGGGCCTCTATCTGATATGATGGAGACAGGCACACCATGCAACCGAACAATCTCCTAAATATAAATCTAGGCCAATCTTTCTAAAGAATACGTAAGTCACAACCAGAATGAAGTGTGCCGACTTGGTCAACCTGTCGACAATGACCCAAAGTGCATCAAACTTCTACAAGGTCCGCGACAACCTAACTACGATGTCCATAGTGATGCGCTCCCATTTCCACTTAGGTATAGTCATCTGTTGGAGTAGGCCACCTGGCCTCTGATGCTTATGCTAGACTGAGGTAGCCTTGCAGGCGTCCGCAGGCCCGGCGTCTCTTCTTTATGTTTTCCTTTTGACTGTTGCCTCATTGTTTTCGAGACAGACAACTTTTATATTTCTTTCAGACCTTTGTATTTAGTTTATTCTTAGTGGTTCGTGAGTAATGTGACACCAAATCTTGGGTAGAGACTATTGTTGACTATTCCGCGTATTGATTCAGACTTATAAATTAGACTTCCGCTATTGTTATTATTAAATTCCACATTTCTTTTAGATGCTAAAGATTGTTAACAGATTTATTTATTAATGAAAGGTAAATAAGTTGGCTTGCCTAGCTACCACGAGTAGGCGCCATCACGATCCCGATGGTGGAAAATCCGGGTCGTGACACTTTACAACTAATTGGCCATAATTTCTATGTGCTGAACACCTAGAACAACATGTTTAGGTAATAACAATAGTCTCCAACTATCAGTAATCCTGAATAACTACTGAATCTTGTTCACGCCTAGGCAAGCCTTAGGTAATTACTTAAATAAAATTGGAACTGCCTCTGTTTAATTATCAACTGCTACAACCAGCAGACAGGCCTGATTCGGACTTCTTTTCTGAGTTATATAGAATCGGGTTCTGACTGAAACACCCTGCTTTAGGATTTAAAATTCAGACCTTAACTGTGTTTAAG